TAGAGCACACGTCCTTCTCCACGATGTCTAACCTCTGCGGGAGTCGTGTTACCACGGCAGCCTTCGGCGGGTCCACGTCCTCCAGGTGTTTTAGTCGCTTGCCGCCCTGTGGTAGTGGCGGGGGTGGTGGTGGTGGTGGCCCCCGCAAGGTTCCGGGCGTGGTGGTGCTGTCGGTGCAATGAAGGGAAGGGAAGGCAGGGGAGAGGAGAGAACGGAAGGGGGAAGGCGGGGGGAATAAGGGAGGGGAGAGGGGGGGGTGGGGTGAGAGAGAGAGAGAGAGAGAGAGAGAGAGAGAGAGAGAGAGAGAAGGAGAAAGAGAGATGAAAAGAGCCGGACAGAAAAGTTAGGGGGGGGCTCCGGAAGTGTAGCACGGGGGATCGGAGGGTGACGGTTTCGCGATGCAGCATCCATGTCGGTCCATGTATTTCGGTACCTCCTTCTCTCGCAATCATTCCCCCGCGCGGCACGAAGCAAGCCTTGGTTTGAAACAGAAAGATCTAAATAGGATGTGTGACACCGAAACAGGCTGGGACAAAAGAGATTTAAACGAAGCCAAGAGTCACCGCTAACGTTGCTGCACAGTGATCGACCGTGTAAAAAAAAACTGGTCCATGGTGGGTGGGGTATCCGACGCAACCTACGGCATAATTACATAATTACAGCAGTGTAGAACGCGCCACGCACAAGAACTTGACCTTAAAAAAAAATCGAAGAACTTGGCCATCAGAACAGGTGCTCAGTAGAGAAGCCTACCCCGACACAGTCGCCGCGGGGCAACCTCACACAAGAAACCAGAGCCTCGGACAAAAAGCTGCGGCGCGTTCTGTTTCACGACTCACCTTGCCCCCCGACTTAATGTTGCCCGATTCCGGCGGCGACTTGATCTTGACGTGGGAGAGGATCTGGTCAGCCAGCTTCTCCGCCGTGTGGTTGTTCGGAGCGAGGAAGCCGGCCACGCGGGCGGCCTGCGCCGGGTCGGCCATCTCCCCGTACCGGAAGCAGGTGGTGAAGGACGGGTCCAGCTCTTGGAAGGTGGAGTGGACAACCGCCAGGTTGTTGAGGAGGATTCGGGACTCCCGGATAAACCTTGTGTTTTTTGTCACAGCGGGCGGGAGTGAGTTTTTTTTTTTTTTTCTTACCATGACACACGAATCCATCTCTATCTACAGAAAAAGAGCTTAAGATAGACTAGCAATGACTGAATTCAGATCGTCAGAGCAGGGAAAAGGAGATGCTGAAAGGATTACAACGGGTTGCTGTGGGAATGGAAGTACGAGCAGCAGCAACAGCAACAGCAACGAGACCAACAAGACCAACAGAGCTACAGCTGCAAAGCGGCGACATGTCCTTACTGTTCGTGTGCTCGAAGAAAAGACGAAGGGAAAATTATCAAAAGCCGAGACCAAAACTAGCTTGAAGATTTTACTACCGAGGAAGGTGCATCTAGAAAGAGGTACGACAAACAGACAGACTGGCAGACAGACTGGCAGACAAGACAGACAGACAGACAGACAGACAGACAGACAGACAGACAGACAGACAGACAGACAGACAAGACAGACAAGACAGACAGACGAGACAGATTGACAAGACAGAGATAGACGACAGGAGAGCAAAAGACAAGACCACGACAACACTCACGAGCCCCCGTAGTTGTGGTGCCCGCTGTCCGAGGTGAGGATGTCCGCCGCCGATCGGGCAAGGTACACGAACCGCATGTCCACGCCGGCTCTCTCGGCCTCCTCCGCCACCAGCCTGAAGTCCACGTACTGTAGGGCCTTCTCGTCACCGTTGAAGTTCGGGTAGGACATCATCCCCGTACCCTGTCACGACGTTGTCGGGGGGCGCACGGTCACGAAGGGGGGCCGAGGGAAGAGAAAGTGTTTTTGGGGGGGTGGGTTACTCTTATGTTCTGCATGCATTAGTTGTGAAGAGCATTGGCCACACGTCCCCGAGAGATCGGGGCACATCCCAACAGGACCGGGTGGGTGGGGGCCAACTCATGCTTTGCATGCCTTAGTTGTTAGACCACGGGTCCTCGAGAGGAATGAGTATTGTTCTCCCACAGGACCCATCACCGATGGCCAATGGGTTCTTCCCACTTCGCCAGCGGGGGGGGGGGATAGAAAAATATAGCAGTTCTGTCAATGACTGATCACAATCAACAGTGAAGAACTCAACAACAGACAATGCCAACGATCACGCCAACGACACCAAAAGATACGACCACAAGGTAAAACCACCGCACCGCAGCAGCTTGCGTCGCCACCATCACCACCACCACCAACAGCATACGGACAAGATTCCGCTGTGCCCCTGACCTCACCACCTCCGCAGACTACAACAGCAGTCATCAAACAGCAGCGGCGCCAACAGCACAGCGCAAAAAGCCTTCAACACCAACCACAGCCAACCCCAGAGCGCATAGAACGGATAAAACAGCGAGGCTTTCAAACACCAAAAACATCAACGACAACACTACCAAGAGCAACAGCACGCCGCTAACGCTACCGGCACGACCGACAAGCCGGCCTAACCTGGAAGCGGCAGGCCCCGAAGCTAACGACAGTCGACTCGCCCTCGGCAAGGCTCTCCTCCGGAAAAGCGGCCAGTTTCTCCTGTATCGCCCCCCCCCCCAAAGCACAATCGTAACATTAGCATTTTCGTCGAAAAAAAGAAACAAGTGATGGGGGTTGTGTGCATTAGCAGGACGTCTGAAAATCAGAGCAACAAGGAAGGCACAGGGGGGCTGGGTGTAAGCTGACGTTGCATGCACTTGCACAGGCTTCTTAGATCACAATGTCGAGTCACAAGAGAGCGCGTGTGAGAGAGAGACAACAAAAAACATGGAGAGTACCATCGACCGCGCTAACCCGCTGACCACTGAACACACGTCAGCCGCAGCTGGAAATTTCAAGGTCCCTCTGAAAGCTGTGTGTTGGTGACATGATAATGTATGAAAAAATCGAAGCCCCTCAACATCTGACTTACGCCCTATGGTACCTGATCGCGGTACACAAATCTCAGGGCGTGTGAAACGCGCAGCACGGATGGACCCCAGCTCGCTCACCATCTCTTCCCGCAAGCGTTTCCGCGCGTCCCAGTACGCGTTTCTGCTCTTGGGGAGAGACAGCTCCGGGTAGAGTACCTTGGCCATCACGCACAGCTTGGGGCACCGCACCTTGTCCTTCTTGCACACGTCCTCGAGGACGTCGGCCATATAGTGGTGGCCCGTGCCTGCGTCGTCGTTGTTTTTCCGTCGTTGTCGTTGTCGTTCGTGTTATTTCGTGCAGCAGGGGGAAAGGCAGGCACGCACAAACATACAACAAAAGAAAGAAGTAATAGGTGTTACGGTAGTGGTGGCGCGCCCCCAGCAATGTCGCGGTCGTCGTCGTCGTCGTCGTCGTTGTTAGTATTCATTCGTGCAGCAGAGGGAAAAGGGGTACACACAATCGCACACGAGACAAGACACGGGGGCTCAAGAGCCACTACCACATACATCCCAAGCGCGAGCTTGTTGAAAGATGGCTCGAAAGCACGCCCGTGAAGCATCTCCGCACGACGTGCGTGTCCCCCCCCCCCCCAA